AAAAACAGAATTGACTTTTCTTGGATTAGGGATGAAGGGATTAATCATATATGTACTCTGGGAGGTCTGCCACGCCTACTTCTGTGTATTACACTAAGCAGGAATACCCTTTTACGCTTTAAATAAAGGTTATAAAAACGTTAAGATCTATCCGGACATAATCTATTATGGCTTAAGCTAGAGATGAAATAGGAAATAATAAATAGCGGTTGCATATATTGAATAATTTGTTATACATAGCTCTGTCAGTTGTTAACTGTTAAATATGAAATTACGAAAAAAACAAAAAAAAAAATGACACCAAACTGTAGTTCTTTGGTTAAACAATATCTTCAGAGAATATACTCGTATGCCAATGTTTGGTTAGTGCTAGTGTTTTAAGGGCCCCGTACACTGTGTCCAGTTGAATGTTATTAAATGAAATGAAATTTTCTTCTTTGTAGCTTTTAGTTTTATTGGCGGTTTTATTGCCGGGCCCCGTCGATATCTGTAAGTTTAAGGCATTATAATGGATTTAAATTATTGCGCAGAATTCAGTTCAAGTTTAATGCACTTTTTTGCGTGACACGTCGATGTGTTTTGTTTTTGCGATTCGCAATCTGTCGGCATGCCGTCCATGCCACTCACACACACACCATAAATACCACACACACGCACACACGTACACACAACACACCCAATCTTACACACACACTCGCCTCGTACTGAGACGCGTCAGGCAGAGGCCGATACCGTGGACTTTGAAAATCAAAGTAAATATGGCGTTGCTACTTGAGTTTTGACACAGTTCGAAATGCTTTCGAACTTACTGGAAAATGAAATCAATGCTTGGCTTCTGTTGGCCGATTCGCAGTTCGTCAATGTTACTATATGTCCCGTCCCGTCCAGTCCAGTCCAGTCTAGTTCAATCGTATTGGGACGGATGGGGAAAGGGTCGGGGTCCCAGCTGGTACCCGAAGTGTAAACAGTCGTAAAGCAATTATATCGATAGGAGGCTTGGGTTTTTATATAATGAGTCTGTAAGACTATATAGTATAGGCATGTACTATATGTGTGTCTGTCTGTGTCCGATATCATGTGTGTGAATAAAAGCTAAACGCTTATCTAGGCTTATCAAATAGCATTCGAGAGCTGTTCGCTGCTCGCCTCGCTGTCCAGTCTTCTATTCAGGCCAGCTTCGAGACTCTATTATGGGCGCACGCCGGGCAGACGGAGCATAGATTCGACGTCATCGCCATCAAACACTCATTATTATATTATATATATATAAATATATAAATAGATCACAGCATCTCAGATTAGCAACTGGCGGGCTCAGAATTAATTAATTTTCCGTAGATCAAGTTGAATGAGATATTCAAGCTGGCGTCGGACGATAGAGTGGGAGAATGGCCGAGCGCCCGACACGTCGGTCCAAAGTAGTTTTATTTTTGGCAACTAGACAATATTCAGACGATGACATAGTAAGCTGATAGCGAAGAATCTGATCATGTGCAAACGTAATGGCAGCTCAATCGTTAATTTTAGCCAGCTACTTATCATCAGCTTGCCGAGGAGGTTCGACGATTTACTCGGAGGGTACTTGTTTGCACGTTTCTTGAAGGGAATGGAAGAGACATTGCACCGTCTCGTATTTCCAAAAATGTAAAGTATCAATTTTATGGCTAGCTAATGAGACAAAAGGTAGGCTTATTGTTAAACCAACTAACCGGCCAAGTCGTTCTACTTGTTTATCATAAAAGAAGTCTGCGACATTCGCAAGTTGCGACAGTTTCCCTCGTGAAATGTCCTTCACATAAAAAGAAAGATATTTGGTCACTGATATACTATATAACTAAAAGCACTGTTTAAGTAAATATTTGATTGATTGATTGTGCATTTTCCCCATTTGCGTGCTGAATTTTCCAATATACTCTTTCGCAGAAAGCCTTAATTAACAAAACAAAACTTCAACAAAACTGCAAAAAACTCTTCGTGAAATATAGTACTTCTATAAGTCAAACATTTTGTTTTTATCCCCAATTAAGCTGGCTCTAATATCGGGGAATAGTCCTCTAACTAATAATCTATAACTGTTTATCCTTGGTTGAGCCTTTTTCAAAATGTCCATTTTGTTTCGTCGCTTATGGATTTATGTTCACAAGCACCAAGCCACGTAGAAGGTGTGAGAAGCGAAGAGTAGGGCTCAGACGCACCTATAAACATACTCGCGTGTATTTGAATATATACTATGGAGCATGTATGGGAACGAGCATATCTGATATGCATAGCGGCACGGACCCGAATCACAGCTTGCATGAGCTTTTGAGTTAAACAGTATGACGCAATTGCCTGTCACATTTTTTGTATATACTCGTATACCTACATACTAAATACATATAAATATACCTATACTTGTATAGCGATTTCATTGGCCAATTAACGAAGACAGCAACGTACAGCAAATCGTAAAATTCCCATTAGAAATATCATCCTCAGAAATCACATGCACTCATCCAGAATCAAAACAAAGGAATTTTGTAAAAAAAAACACACATTCATCCAAACACTAATATACATATGCATACATATATGTATATTCGAATACAGACATTAAAATGCACATTAAAATGTGTCTCTTAGTGCTTTACAGAAACCCAAAGACAAAAACAACATCAAGGTCATGTTCAAATTAATCTTTGCTTCCAGCGATGCAGGTTATCAAAAATGTGTGGTCAGATTGCAGCTTCAGCCAGCATATTCTCAAAAATACAAATATATACATATATAGTATACACATACCATATATACTACAAATATACCTATACCTATGTAGAGTATATAGCAATGGCAGAACGTATCGTCTAGATGCGGACTGCCTGAAAAGGAAATACTTTAGCAGTTCCGTCGCAATAACGACCTATCGAGTACACACGAGACATGGATCGAATTTCTTTTTATGTCTGTCTGTCTCTCTGTCTGTCTGTCTATCTGTCTCTTTCTTGTAATTACAAATACTAACCCAAGTTGAAATTTTGACTGCAGTCCCCGTCTATGGCAACAAACTGCAATAACTTTACTGTTATGTGGCCATTAGGGTTTGTGGCCCAGATAAGGTTGAGGTCATTAACTGAATAAATTGCGTCACAGGGCCCATGCCACGTGCCTTTTTATTTCACATTATACTTGTAGTGCCCATAGAGGTAGTGTTCGTCTAGAATCTCCGCATTTATGTACGAGTACTTGTATGTGTCTGTGCACTTAAAGAAAAATTGTATCAATATAAATAAGCCATAATGAAATTATTAAAGCGGATGGCAACAAATTCAACGTACAGCCATGCTATAGCAACTTAATTTGAATTTATTCATCATTGAAGGGTATTATCCTGTTAAATGTAATCTCAAGAGGTTGAAGTTACCATCAGTTGGTCTTTATTATGGTAAATCTGTTTACAATTCTTTTATTATTTGGCATCTTCTTAAGATTTTTCCAGCTGTGCATCGATATTTATCAGTTCTCCTATAAGAGGTAAAAATAACTTTGAAGTGCTTATACCTCTGAAAGTAGAGGGTATGAGTATGTTGATAATTCTCGAATTTGATTTAGATTGAGAAACATATTATATCCCAATTAATACCCATTATTTATATTAGTGTTAATGTCTTCTTTTATTGAAAAACAGTTATATTTATACAGTTAATTCAATCTATTGGGAATGCTTATGATGATGATTACTATTGCAGGTGGAAAATAAATCTTACTTTACTCGAATTCTTAAGATTTAAAAATTAATCGGACAGTCTTCTCAGACAGTCTTCTCAGACAGTCTTCTCAGACAGTCTTCCCAGACAGTCTTCTCAGACAGTCTTCTCAGGCAGTCTTCTCAGACAGTCTTCTCAGACAGTCTTCTCAGACAGTCTTCTCAGACAGTCTTCTCAGACAGTCTTCTCAGGCAGTCTTCTCATACCGTCTTCTCAGACAGTCTTCCCAGGCAGTCTTCTCAGACAGTCTTCTCAGACAGTCTTCTCAGACCGTCTTCTGAGGCAGACTTCTCAGGCAGTCTTCTCATTGAAGCGAAATATCTCACTTACTGATACCTTTCTTTCTTTAATTTTATATTCATTATTATTGTTGGTGCTCATTAACGGCTGACATAAAGGATGGATTATAGATATAGAATGCTAAAAATATAAAAATGGAACATTTGAAAGCATTTGTTGTACTGGAGATTCTCAACGAGATATGAAATTTGTATTGCTTTGTAAAAGTCCCCCTTTTAATTCTTAGTCTGGTTACCTTTGAATGTACTATAAATAGGATTGTACGGTTTTAATTATTGATATCCTTTATAGGCAATCCTGCCTTCGTAGTGTCCTTTTCTTTCGGTGTATAGAAAATTTCAAGCCATATCGTTACCGAAAAGTGTCGGCTACAAGCAATCACCAGCCCGTAAGATCCGCATGTGTTTTAAATTTCTGGCTATGTAGATTACTCCCCCCGCATAGTATGCTGTTGTCTGTGAGCTACGATCTATAAAATTTGAGTGATGTATATAAATATATAAGTATGTGTATATATATGTATGGCATATGGGAAGCGTGTGTGTCCGCTTTGTGCGCGCTACGAGTCGGACACTCGACCACTTATTAGCTAGATTATTAACAATAATTGAAGACAAGAACTACAACAGCAACATGAATAGAGACAATATAGAGAACCTATCGGTAAGTCAAGTGCTCGCTCTACTAAATAAGTAACAAGTGCTATATACTACTACCTCGATCTATGTACAACTGAAGACGTTTTGACCGTGCCAGGCGCATTAGACGTATGCGGATCAGCGAAGTCGGCGCCACTGAATACAGTATGCGACCCACCTACCTCTGATATATATATATATAAATTTGTATATATGTATATACATATATTCCATACATACATCAGCTTTATGTATGTTTCTATGTATGTATGGATCGGCAGTGGCTTTAATCGTACTTATATTTAGCAGACTCGTCAAACACGGTCACAGTTCCCTACGAGACCGAGACGCGTTCAGTGCCGCCAGCTCAGACAGAGTACCACATCGCACAACACCCCAACAAGGATATAGAGGAGCACCCACAGAGAAGGCAAGAACAAGCAAAAGAGCAAGAGAGAAAGAGGGCGTGCGAGAGAGAGTGAGTAAACGTTAGATCAGTCACAGCATGAAGCTTGAGAGACAAGCCACCGATCCGCCGAAATATCTCAATGAGGACTTCTTCAAGGCGGCACTCGAGGATGGGCTCCGCGATATGCGCGTGGACATCAAAAAGATCATATTTGCCGAATCGAGTGGTGGCGGTGAGAATTACTGCAGCAAAATCTATCGGGCCAAGGCTCTATATAGGAGCAGCAAACGTCAGTTGGATGAAGAGTTGGCGCTAATTGTAAAGAGCATTGCAATCACACCTGCTACGCAATTCCTGGAGGAATTGGCCGTCTATTTACGTGAGAAAATCTTCTATTTCGATGTGCTTGGAAAGCTGGAGGTGCTCATTGGCGATGGCTCCAAGTTTGGCGCCAAGTGTCTCTACACAACCCGCGAGCCCATACAGACAATTGTCTTCGACGATCTGACACAGTACGGCTACAAACTGGCGAGTCGCCAGAGCGGCCTCAACGAGGAGCACTGTGTTGTGATATTAAAAAAATTGGGCAAGTTCCATGCCAGCTCAATGGTGCTGGCCGAGAAGGTGAGTGAATGTGAGCTTATCGATTAGTTCTATCAGCGAGCCAGAAAAAGACTATTTCGACTTCGACCCTACAGGAGCCGACGGTGCGGGAGCATTTTACGAGTGGCATGCTCGACGAGAACTATATACGCACCAATGAGCGTTTCATCAACTTTATGACCCTACAGTTAAGCACATTGGCCAGCGTTGTGGCCAAGTGGCCGGGCTATGAGCAGCTGGCCGAGAAACTCTATCGTCACTGCGACAATATCAAAGAGAATCTGGTGATGACGGGTCGTCCCATTCCGGGCGAGATCACCGTCCTCAACCATGGCGACCTCTGGGTCAACAATTTTATGTACAAATACGATGACGCGCAGCCAACTAGGCCCATTGATGCCATTTTTGTAAGTATTCATTTCCTTTTCTTTTTCGTTTTTTTTTTTTTTGTTTAATAATAATTTGACGACCAACACTTCGCAGGTGGACTTCCAAAACAGTTTCTTCGGCAGTCCCGGCTGCGACATCAACTTCTTTTTGAACAGCAGCGTCCAGCTGGATGTGCTGATCAATCGACGCGAGTACCTTATACAGACATATTATGAATCGCTGCGCGACAGTCTGGAGCGCATGCACTCCGAGTTCATACCCACATATGAGGATATACAGCACGAGATACGGGCACGTGAGCTGTACGGCTTCTTCTCTTCGTATGCCTTTCTGCCCATGGTCACCATGAAGAAGGAGGACTCCTACGACATTAGCATAGAGGCACTCACCAATCAGGACTTTGCCAAGAAGAAGGTGCAGCTTATGTTCTCCTCCAATCCACGAACCACAGATACATTGCGCTATGCGCTTCGGCGATTCGATGAGCTGGGCATCTTCGATTGACCGCTCATTACTGAAGCAGTTGCAGAAATATATTTATATGTACTGTTTTTTTTTTCCTTACTTTTACGATTTTTTGTAATTAACTTAAGCGCACATTTTTTACTAATACATGCCAATTTTTTTTTCTAAGTGTACCTCAGTTTTCGCATACTTATTCCATTCGAAAATCCCTCTACCCGAAGCGTAGAAAGGGTATATTGGGTTTGTGCAAAGTATGGAATAGGGAAAGGGAAGCATTTTCGATTCCATTAAGTGTATTTATTCTTAATCAGCATGACGAGAGAAATTGTTACAGCCATAAGTTTCTGGAAATCATCGAACAAATGCCTATTATTCTAGTAGACAGGTTTTGAAATCCTTGTGAGTTGACTTATTTATTTTTTTCTCTCGTATTTTAAGATTTCTTTTTACTCCAGGTCGCTCACTTTAGCTTTCAAGGCGAATTGCATTTGATTTGAAAAATAACAAACATTACATTTTTTTTTTTTTTTTTTTTTTTTACATATATACAATTTATTAAACTAGTTTTCTACTACCAATATGGCAGCTTAAGCTAGTTGAAAGTTAGGGAATACAAAAGTTGTCTATAGTAAGCATCTATAGGACGCACTTATATCTATGTACATATATACAATATTTACAATGTTTTACATGAAAAATGATTATATTTTATGATATATACTATGTATTTTATACAAGGGCTCTTGTGGGGAGATCCTTTGGATGGCACTTCTTCAGTCTTCTCTTCTTAGGTTTGGACAGGAGCCGCCTCGCTAGTGCGTTGGGGTGACTGCCGAGTCGCTTCTCGTAATTGCTTGCGTGCATTTGAATGACATCGCCAACCTTGGGGACACATAAGTCTCTTTCGATGTCCCTAGTGCGCATATACCAGGGAGCGTTGCATATTTTTCTCAGTATTTTAGCTTGCGCAACTCTTATTTTGTTTAGGTTCGATGCAGCGGCAATGCCATAAATTGGTAGCGCATACTTCCATATTGGACTTAATATGGACTTATATACTGTCACCTTACTGTGCAGGGACAGCTTGTTGCATGGTGCAAGCAGCCATGCCATCTTTCCGGCTTTCGCCATGACCGATCGCTTGACCATTGTTGTATGCTTGCTGAAGTTGAGTCTTCTGTCCAGAATGACACCAAGATATTTGTGCGAATTTGTATGACTGAGCGTGGACCCCAACATTGTGATATCTCTGCATGACGACGGCCTTGTTGTAAATGTGACATTCGCACACTTGCTGGCGTTGATACCAATGTTCCAATTCAGAGCCCAATTCTTGAAACTACTTACATACTGCTGTAAGGCTTCCGAGGCTACATCGATATCTCTGCTTCTGGTAAGCACCGCAGTGTCGTCTGCGTAAGTAGCTATTAGTGCATCATCCTCGTCTACTCCAAGGATCTCTTGCGGTGCAGGCATATCAGCCGTAAATAATGTATACAGGGTAGGACCGAGAACACTACCTTGGGGCACCCCTGCACAAATTGAGCGCCTCGTGGATTTCACTCCATCAACAGCAACTCTGAAGCTTCTGTCCCTTAGAAAGCTTTCGATGAGTTGAAACAATTGAGGAGTTAGCATGCCTTTCAATTTGCAGAGGAGACCATCATGCCACACTCTATCAAAAGCTTGTTTAATATCCATAAATACAGCCACTGAGTACATCTTTTGCTCCATGGCTTCCAGGGCGAAGTTGACCACACGGTGGAGCTGTTCCGGTGTTCCGTGACTTCTTCGAAATCCAAATTGCCATTTTGGAATTCTGCACGTCACGGCTTCGAGCTGGAGAATCCGGTCCAGAATCACGCGTTCCATCATCTTCCCGAGGGCAGGTAGCAGACTAATCGGCCTATATCCATCTACTTCAGTATGCTGTTTCTCTGGCTTTGGAATCATCGTAATTAGCGCCATTTTCCAGCAGTTTGGAAAGTGCCTCAGCCTGAGTATGTTATTCATGAGCAAGACAATATACAGCAGAGCCCTTGTGGGGAGCAGTTTCAGCGTCCTGTTGTCTAAAAGGTCTTCTCCAGGCGCTTTTTTTACCTTTAGATTTTTTATCTGCTGTACCACTTCTTGAAGTGTAACTGGGCTTGCAGGCAAGGCCATTTGGAATGGCATCTCCAGCCTAAGCTCGACTACCCTTCGCCTATCTGCTGTTGTAAAGTCAAAAGGCTTAAATCTTTCCTCTAGGCTGTTTGCAAAGATTTCAGCTTTCTGCTGACTGGAGTAGCTCCATCCACCTGTAGGATCCTTAATTGGAGTCTTAGGGATGACCAGCCTCTTAAATCGCCTCGTAAGCTTCCAGAGCGAGTAATTAAATGATGCATCTGGACCAGCACTTTCCAATATGTCATCAATTCTGCCTTGTCTGATTTTAGCAAGCTCTTTTTGCAGTCGATTGGACAGTCTTTTGTAGATTTGATGAATGCGAGTATCTCCAGTTCTTGCATATTCTTTCCTGACTCTTCTTTTCAGGCTTAAGAGCGCAGCAGCCGTTGGTGGTAGACTAGCTTGACTATGTTGGGTTGGCAAGCGTAAAGTTTTCGGTGCAGCAGAAGACGCAGCCAGTGAAATGTTCTTCATGAGGATTGATATCGCGTCTTCGATATCCTCTGGGCTGTTAATTTCGACGTTCAGGTTAATTCTTCTTTCGAGATCGGCTTTAAAAACATCAATACGGGAGCCAGGTGGTAGAATATATTCCCTCTTGGGATTATATTGCGGTGCATGATGTAGCGTCGCTACTACTGGAAGGTGATCCGATGCGAGCTCATATTTTGTTTCAACGGTGAGTCTGTTTAGGGCAATCCTGTTGACAATAAAGAAGTCTAGTGCAGAGGGGTTAAGCCGTGTGTTGTAAGAGTAGAAAGTTGGCTCTCCAGTAGCAAGAACTTGGCAAGTAGTACTAGCTATGGCCTCTTGCAAACACCTTCCTCGCCTGCAAGATCTGGAATTACCCCACCATTGGTGTTTTGCATTAAAATCACCGCCTACAATAAACTTATCTCCTAAGGTTGCCAGCAATAGATCAAAGTCGGCCCTGCACCAAGCTTCATTGGGAGGAAGATACAGGGAGGAGACTTTGATGCTTCCACCATTCGTCGGTATAGTTACGCTGGCCGCTTGGATGCTTGTTTTTAGAATTGGCTCATTCTGTGAATGAGCGATACTTGATCTAATGATGACTGCAGAACCACTTTTAGCGGTGCCACTAGGATGATTAGCGTAGTACTGGTCGTATCCTGGCAAATATGCGTTCAAGCCAGGACGCATATGCGTTTCGGTTATTAACATGATATCGATCGAGTTTGAACTTAGGAAAAGCCTGAGTTCATCATTGTTTTTGACCAGGCCCCGTGCGTTCCATAATCCGATTTTTAACAGCGGATTTAACATTTGGATATTAGTTTTTGTACCAATTCACGGAAGGCTCTATTGGAATCCATATTTTCCTGTATGAGCTTATACATTTGATCCATTCTTGCGTTTAGATCTAAAATCGCCTTTTCCAGCATACTAAATTTGTTGTTTAGATGCCAATCTTCGGCGGAACTGTGTGATCGGGGCGAGTTTTGGTTTGTTGGCGCGCTGGTACGTTTTTCTCCAATTGGCCTAGCTGCATCAGCATAAGAGAAGCCACTCTTAACAGTAGAGTTTGAGATAAACTGTACTTTAGTGCCTTGGTTATTTGGGTAACTCCTATTGCTACCGATAACTAGTCCATCTTTCGGCAACCTCACAGCTGGCTTAAGTTTTTTGGCTAGATCAATTCTTACCTTGCAGCCTCTGAAGCTCGACATGTGGTCTTCGCCGCAATTAGCGCATATAAATTCCCCATTATCATTCAGGTTACATGATTTTGAGCCAGTATCATGGTCCCCCGAGCATTTACCGCAAACCGGCTTTTTAAGGCAATAGTTCCTCGTGTGCCCGAAATCTTGGCATCTGAAGCATTGTACCAGCTCTTTACTCTGTTTGGCCTTTGATATTGTAACCCTGTGTCTACCAATTTGAGTTATTTTTAGTGCCTCAGCAACGTTGGGTGCGTTCTGGAGGTTAACGTAAAACATATTTTGTCTTGTTTTAACATTATTTATGTCCTCACCATCCTCCTCATTAATTTGAATGTTACGCCAGTCCGGTTTTCTGGGGCAATATATATTCAAAACTGTAAAGCCCTTGTCGGTAAAGGTGCGCTCTATTAATTGCCTGGGTACATTGGGATGAATATCTCTGAGCACCAATCTGCAGGGTTTGTTCTCCTTCAACTGGTGGTGCCAGAATTGACAATTTTGATTGGACAATAATTTGATTATTGCACGAAACGCATTCGAATTCTTCGTATAAATACGCGAGATCCCAGATTTCGATGTGCGTATGTCGTAATCGTTAGGGGAGACAGCAGAATTGAGCGCCACCTCCAGCTTATCCAATTTGTTGACTTGTGGCACACATATAGCAGGAGGCTTAGGAATACTACTTCCCTGCTGGAAACGGCTGGCTTCATTTTGCTGGCTCGATGGATCTTCGGAATCTGGCTCTTCCATTTCCATAATGGAATCAGCTTCTTCCGAAAGGGCTGCAAATCTATTATTTTGAAGCGCTGGCGGAGAGGAGGACGCAGTTCGTTGTCCCTGGGTTGTATTGACAGGAGTTGGCTTATTTTTTTGAGCCGATTTTAGTGACTCGACGGCTCCTTTCCGCTTCCTATTAATACCGGGTACTGGCATTTGAAACGAGCAAAATTTGTCCAGAGTTGGATTTGCAACTAAGTTTGTGATTGAAGCCGGTGTACTCGCAACGGCGGGTGTGGAGCACAAACTGCCATTTGATGTCGCTACTGTAGTATACATTGATTGAGAGTTCACCACAGAAAATGTTAGGGTACTTGTAGTCGATGTACAAGTGGTTGAGGCAATCCAGTTACTGGTTGAGATTGACGGCTTTAAGTATGGTTTTCCCATTGACATATGCAAGTCCTTGGTTATTTTTGCTCTCAGCTCCGAAGGTGATTTACCAGAAATTTTTCTCATCTCCACGTACTTCGGCAGCTTATTGACTACTTCCTCAGCTGCTCCGAGAGCGGCCGAGTCTTCATCAGCATTCATTTACGTGAGATAAGATGACTTGCAAAACAAGCAAAGAAGAAAAATTCTGGGCTGTCTCTGCTCCGATGACGTGTATACGTCAGCAGAGCAGCCCCATACAGCAGATTAATTGTTGATTGGAATCCAAGAAAATAAGGATACTAAACGATTGCCAAAAAGCCAAGGTGAAACTAGGTTTCCGGGTGGTTTTTTTTAACGCACTATACGCGAAATAATTGAAAAAGAGGAATTTATTACAATTTTTCACGGAGCGCACAATAAAAAGTCGACTAGTCACTTTGACAGCTACCAGGGTATGAAGTTATATTAAGGAGGTAGTGCTTTCGTCTCATACACGAGGGATATATTGTGTAGCATACTTTTGGGTTGCGAGAGAAACTAAATTGAAAATATAGCCTGCTTTTGGGGGGCAATAGTTTGTTGTTCCCTTTTCATTTACATTTAATTGCCTTGTTTCGGTTCCCTTATAATATTTTAAGCAAATGTGTAAGGACCTTAAGTTACTCAGGAGCAGCTTTTAAACTATCATTTTGTCGTCAAATGTGTAATATCGATTCATTGTTGACATTGAGACATTCCTCTCGTTCTCTGTATATTGTATGTCGATCCTGCATTATACATTTATGCACAGCAGTTTTTGCTTGTACACCTAATTCTTTTTTTACACGGTAGATTGGTTCCACAAAATGTCGTGTAGATTTCTCCTTCTGAGGCTATTCTAGCTTATAAGATGCTTCTTATAACTTTTATGTACTATTTCCTATGTCGACAGTCAATGTTTGTTGACATAAAAAAAAAAATAAATAAAGAAATATGCAAAAATAGGTGATTGGTTCCCAAAGCCTATTAAAATCAGTGAAAAAACAAGGATTTATGTCTTTTTTTTATTAAATCATATATGTTGAAAAGAATGTTGAAATTTTTCAATGGAATTTGGTATTATCAGGACGCACAATATATAAGGCAACCGAGACGTAAGAAGACACATTTGTGTGTTTAAGCATTTTCCCCAATTCATCTTCTGAATATTGTAATGGTACCTTCTTAGCGAAAAGATCTGCCTCGAATGGATCGATGTTGGTGCCCTGCTGGTACTCCGCCAACTAGTGCTTAACCAAAAGACTGAATCCCCATACATATTGAATACATCGTTCAAGTACATTTTGTTAGATTACAAGCTTAAGCCTATTCTAAATGTGTATGTTAATACAAATACTAACAAAGCGCGCCCGCAACTCAATTAACTAAACAGAGGTCGAGAAATCCACACCGGCATTCTTAGAAGTTGAAAGCAAAATAAGTGATAAATGAGATTAGTTAACTCTATGATTATAATGTCTGCTGAAATTTGATTTCAAGCTAATGGCTTAATTAAGTTACTTACCAGTTTCCAGTCAGCGTAAATAAATATTTAATTTGAAGCACCACTGACTACGTTCATGTATATTTCCAGACATTAACTAAGGTACTGTGAAGTTTTTATTCCCATAATCGAACACTACGAATGACCTGAATTCGAGACACATCTGGGAAAGGCAACAGAAATGTGCCGTTGCGGCCATTTGTGTGGCAAACTATTATGCACACTTAGCACTTGTAATTGTTCAAGACCATCGTTTTAATGTGCACAGGCGTTTCCAGATCAAAGTCATGGACGTCTGTCCCATTTGCAGCACGCTCTGCATTTTGCTTTTTTGTTTTTGTTTCTTTTTTGCCAACAAACACAGCTTAAACGCCGACTCCGACTCCGACGAAGAAAAAGACCAAGACGATGAGGATGACGATAAAGCGTCGACGACTGTACCGCTTGGTTTGGCCTGCTAGGGGCCAAAAACCGGCCACGGCGGTGTCGGCGCGGCTTTAATCGCTTTGATCTTGGCGCGCAAGAGTTAATTGCATGCTTGCTGCACAGATGCCTGTTGCCGTTGTTGTTGTTATTATTAAAGTTGTTGTTGCCGTTGTTGCTGTTGTTGTCGGGTTCTAGCTTGCAACAAGAGATGTGTGCGTGATGGACTCACGAGTGCAATCGAGCCCGATACTTCATTGCGCAGAGCAGTGCAGACTATACCAAATATAGTATTTCCATTTAAAGGGTCGGTTCACAGAAATATACTTGTATTGCCAGATGTACTCTTACAGTCTTAGTATTAGTCAGAATTTGACTTAGAGTTATAAACTCCATGGCTTCACCACATTACAACTTTAATTATATTTTCAGATTTTAAGTAGAAAGCAGCATAATATTAAAACAAAACACATTTCTGGAAGGAAAAATAATACAAATCAGTTTGAAAAATTGGCAAAACAACCAGTTTAGATTTCTAGATATTAAGAAAAAATATATATCTTTATATGTATACATTCAAAATATATAATTTTCCAAACTTAACGAATTAAGAACAAGCTACAAAAAGACGAAAAAGTCTTGGAAAACAAATTTTCAAAATTTCAATTAACTTCGATTAACGATAATACGTTGGGATTTGAGGAGGATGATTGATGAGAGTATTATTTTGTACAAAGTTCAGAAAAGATAAATTAATGAAAATTTGTTTGGATTATCTTCGTTAATAGTGTCAATCTTTTTCATATTTTTGGTATAAGCAATATTTGTATACTCTATTAAAAAATTCAAGTCAAAAAACAGATTGAAAGTCAAAAAAATGCTCAAGTAAAGACGATTTTTATTTTTATATTAGCTTTATGATACGAAGAGATTATTTTTCTGTTGGTCCCGTTAATCTTTATGGTGCAATACTCCAGGCTTAGAAATGCTTACACCTCTGATTGATTATATCAACAATTTGTTTTCCCATATTTATCATTCGCCATCAGTTTTTGTAAAATATCGGTGCTGGATGGCGTGCTTATTTTCTCACGCGCCCATCTCTAGGCAAGCGCACATTTCTTTGCTCTGTGCACTGCCCACTTGACTGCGCGTGCATTTTTCCGTGTGCCGCAGTGTGGCAATTTGTTGCATAAAAACGCTGCTGTGTGGCAAGTTCAATCAAATGGCTTTACTTTTGTGGCATGTATCCGTGTTCATCTGTGACACTCACAGCAGTTTGCGTGAGTACCTCCGTATACATACATACAACTACTTATGTATGTAAGTATATCAAAGCGATTGTGTTTCCCAACAAAAGACCAACAAAACCAAATTTAAACGATTTCCATTTTTAGTTTAATGCATAATCTTCTTGCTAATAAAAAAAAGCTGATAAGTATATATACACAACTTAAAAATACTCAAATGGATTTAAAGCTATTAACACATTTCATTTAAGGCTTACAGGCTAAGCCGAGCTCTGAGCTCATAGCTCATAGATCAAATGATGAACTGGGCCCGAAAGTTGTTCATATATGTATGTATGTACGTACTTATTATATTACACATACATACAAGTAGGTGGATAGATAGATTTATACTTATTATGACATACACATAAGTATTTACATGATGAGTTGTTTTGTGTGGGGGGAACAGAATCTAACAGATTTGTTATCTAGATTCTAGATGGAAGATGACAGATTCTCATCTCATCTCAATCTTTACAATGCACAGTTACAGTTAGCCGATCATAGATGTTCCAATTTACAAATTCAAAGAGCATTGATTAATTTTAAGTTTAGAAGACGACAAGACTTCATCATCTCACATCTATTGTAAGACACCCGTGTTATTATATATGTATGTACTCGTATGTAGTTTAATTTGTTCACAACTACACATTTCTATTAAGCAACTAATGGCCCTTTGGGTCTATTCGGTCCTCTACACCCGTGACTGGTTGGGATTGTAAACAGGCACATTGTGGAAACTGATGCCCGCATAGAGGGGTGTGGCGCCCATCAAGGGCTTGCCACTGGCATAGAGATGCTTTTTTGGCAGCATCATTGGCGCCACCGTCGGTGCCACCTTGTACTGCGTGCTTAGCGATGAGCTCGGGGTGGCCACCAAGCGGTTGCGATAGCTTTCGCAAGTCTTGCGCGACCACACCCACATGCCGGTGAGCGTACCGCCCACCAGCTGGAAGAAGATGCGCACCAGAGTGGGCCAGGCGCTCAACTCCATCGGTGGGGCACAATCGTCCAGGGTCGAGCAGCTGGGAACGGCGTTCACGTGACGCTCACAGAACGCGGCTGCCACTCCAGCCGCCGTGGGCACAAAGAACACCAGCGAGAAGATGAGGAATCGCTTGCGGATTTGTGCGAAACGCTGCGACAATTGTTGCTGCAGGGTGTGCAGGGAGCGGGCGGCGCGTAGCGTAAAGTAGAGACCCAGGAGCAGCAGCGCCAGCGCCGGAAGCTCCACGAATCCAGGCGCTGTACACATGCCTGTCAGCTCGCTGGGATGCACGCGCTCCAGCAGTAGGGCGGCCATAGGCGGAGTAAGTGGTGGCACCCAGGCTAGTACATGGAAGAGACCGGAACGCTGCTCCAGTGCCTCGCTGGACCATTTCTTGTGCGAGGACAAGTAGAAGCACAGGGAAAAAATTAGCCACCAAGTGGCTCCACACAGACTCAGGTATGAGGTGCTGATGTAGGAGGCCAGACACGGTGGCGTCATTGCGCACGGCAGGCGTCCCGCCGCCAATGGTTGCTCCAACAGAGCCATGCTTCGCGCCTGATTGTGGAACACAATGCGCTCCAGATAGCACAGACTGAAGAGATTGTAGCAGAGACAAAGGAACAACACTGGTCTCTCCGGATAGCCGAAACGCGTGGGCTCCGCCCAAAAGGTGACCAAAGCGAAGAGTGTGAGCAGAAAGCAGACAGCCGAGAGTCCGAGGATCAAGCTCTCCGTCACTTTTTTCTGTTGTGTGCTGTGGAAGGCATCCCGTTGGCATTGTGGAACACACTCGTTCGGCACCAGCGGATTGGCCGTGAAATTGTGCGGACAGAGAACGCTGCTCGAGGGCAGCACCTTGGACAGCTGTGCAGACATCTTCCAGGCCATCCAGGACCAGTACATCTGATGCTCCTGTCGCTGTTCACTCTGCGTTGGCTGCGGCGCCAGCACCGCTACCGATCCTCCACTCTGCTGTTGTTGTTGCTGTTGCTGATGCTGCTGCTGCTGCTGTTGAGGAGTCTCGCTCAGCTCCTGCGGTATTTGCATGCACAGTTCGTGCTTCTCCGGCTGCGGCAGCTGCTCGCAGCTGAGAAACTCCGGCCACAAACGCATCAGCTCCGGGGGCGCGTTGCTCGTGCACTCGCTCTTGACCGTCTCGCAAAGAGACTTGCAGGCAGTCACGGGACGTGGAACATCCGGCGTGCAGAGCGGAAACAGCGATGAGCAGAGCAAGAAACGTGCGCGATCCGAACAGCCAGATTCGATCAAAGGTAGCAGCTTTGCAATCTACAAGAGAGGGCGAAGAATAAAGAGGAGCGGGCCTTTAATCATTTGACATCAAAGCGTTTAAATTGTAAACAAACAAAAGTTTAATAAAAGCGTTCTTCTTGCCATTTCCACGAATAGCAATAAATTGCACTTAAATGTTTAGCTTACCCAAAACTAACATTTGGCAACAATATTCCTAATTGTTTATAATTATTGCTACAGCTAGACAAATGACCTCTTATCTCTAATTAGAAGAGAGAACAATATGGCACTTTAATCGCGGAATTTGTAATACTTTCCATTTCGACTACATAGCTAGACAAATGATCTCTTATCCCTAATTAATCGGAAGAATTTTTAAGATTCGTTCCATTCGAATTAATCATTCCAAAAAAATGATAACTCCTCTTAACAAAATGTTTTCTAATGAGCAGCAAGAGATTAAGTTTCGGTTAACCATTTAATATTCCTATTATTGGATTTTATAATTATTTCGACTATATAGCTAGACAAATGATCTCTTATCCCTAAATAATCGGAAGCATTTTTAAGATCGGAAGAATTTTTAAGATTCGTTCCATTAACGTTCCTCTTAACAAAATGTTTTCTAATGAGCAGCAAGAGATTAAGTTTAGGTTATTAATTTAATATAGCAATTATTGGATTTTATAATTATTTCGACTATATAGCTAGACAAATGATCTCTTATTCCTATTTAGGATAGGCATTTAATCGGAAGAATTTTTAAAATTCTTTCCATTCGAATAAATCGTTCGAATTAAATGATAACTCCTCTTAACAAAATGTTTTCTAATGAGCAGTAAGAGATTAAGTTTCGGTTATTAATTTAATATAGCAATTATTGGATTTTATAATTATTTCGACTATATAGCTAGACAAATGATCTCTTATCCCTATTTAGGATAGGCATTTAATCGGAAGAATTTTTAAAATTCTTTCCATTCGAATAAATCGTTCGAATTAAATGATAACTCCTCTTAACAAAATGTTTTCTAATGAGCAGTAAGAGATTAAATTTCGGTTAATAACTCAATATTGCATTAATTCGAGTCTTACAAATAAAATGTGCCAGCAGTGATTATTTTTCATTTTAAATCGGCACATCATTTGGCATTTGGCTGGCCGCTTTGTTGTAGAACGAACGGCAGAACTACAAAGGACGGCTATTCGCCGGTTTTATTGCATTTTTCATACATAGATTAAATTATAGACATCAACTACCAGTAAAGCAACAACAACAATTAAGAAAGCAGAGTGTGAGCAGCGAGACCGCCAATCCCCGCTGCTCCTCTCGCTAGTCGACGCATTTGTTGTTTATTGTTTAGCTTTTGCCATACACTTCTTTGAACTTATACAGATACAGGGCTATACATATATATATGTTCATGTACATACACATACTATATAATATCGTTCTCTGCGTTGCGTGCGTGTGTATGTGAAGCGTTTTTATCAGACAACAACACATTTCAATCTAATTATTTGGCGGCGTGCTTTCAACTCACACTCGAAAGAGATAGCCACAATTTAATGCTGTTAATTGATAAAAAGCAACATTTTTTTTTGTTTCCTTAAAATATATGTTCCCATGTACACACACACATACATACACAGTATAGAGCGATAAAAATTCCCCACAGACATGCATTGCCACAAAACTTCTGCGCCTATTTCCGAAACCTAGCCTGCTTGAAGCAAGACGGCAAATGAAATGGAATCTTAAAAATGATTCAATGGCGTGATTTAATTTCGAAAATAATTAAAATAATTGCCCAGAAGCCTATTGAAAGGTAAAAACCAATGTTTATTCCAGAAATATTTTCGAAGCTACACGGACACACTGAATTAATTATTTTATTTCAAACATTTTTTATTTGCTAAATGGTTATCAAACCAATTCCTTTTTTAAAGACATTAGTGTTATTAGGATTTTCCCCAAGTAATTACGCGTCAAGCGAAAATAGAAAGAAAACGAAACAAATAACAGCATGTGCAGATAATTCGTGACATTTTTGTATAAACTAATACAACAGCAACAACAAAAAACAACTTAACCATCTAAGGTCATTTCAAATAAATAAAAAATAAATGTTTGAAGAACTTTGTAGGTTTTTGTTGATTTTAACATTTGATAGCCAAACGTTTTTAAACTGAATATACTGGTTTAATAAATTGTATATACTTGTACATTTAAAAAAAAGATAACTATTTTTTCAATATTTTTGAGGTGTTGGCTTAAGCTGATATATTATCACTATTATCCGAATTCTGTGCGATTCATTATCTACAAATGCTTGCTCTAACTACGAAAATTTAAAAAATGCTATAAAGCTTTACGTAACATCAAGTTACTCGTGATAGCTTAAATATTATATAAGTATAAATACATAATAGTTTTGAACTCATGGAAACATTTTGGACCGCTAAAGCATTTCAGTAGAGCAACCATCTGGGAGCATTTCTAAATTTCTCATCGCCTCGGTGTTTTTTTCTTTTGTTTGATTTTCCCACAAACCTGCGCCATCATAGTCACGTTCTCTATGCGTGTGGGTATGTTTCTTGTGTGGCTTGTAGCGAAGAAAATGTGTGAAAATTGGCGTCAAACTTCACACAGTGGATGTGACGCAATGCATGCCGCCGCAGACTAACACTGAAGCGGACATTGGGGAACAAATGGCCCATGGCTGTAATCACGGCAGTCGGCTGCCCAGCGCTCCCCAGCGTCCCCAACCCCAGCGTGCCAACCGCAGTACGCAACTGCGAGCAATTTGCTGGCCATTACGCGTAATTAGATTTAATAACATCGAACGGGGGCTCCGCTCCAGCTCGGTCGAAGGCTCGGAGGAGGGTTCGGGTTCGGGTTCGGGCTCAGACTCGGACTTTGTCTCTGGACAAACTGTTTGCTTTGGGCCCATTATATTAATTGTCAGGCATTATCGGGCTGCTGTGTGTCTTTAATGATGCACGGGGTCGCGTTACTCATACGCCGCGTCTGCCACACATAGTGCCGTATTGCCATCCTCACATATCCTCACCTGCAGACTTGCAGCTTTTTATCGACATTGTGTGGCTTTCAGCCAAAAAGCAGACGCCGAGCCGCGCCGCGTTGCGCCACGCCGGCGGGATGGCAAAGGCTTAGGCTCGGGTTAGGGGCCAGAGGGAGCCATTGCTGTCAAAGTCCATGACGAACTGGGGGGCTTTGTCTGCTGCCAGCAGGCACTGCCTGTCTACCTGTCGTTCCGTCCGATCTGTCCGTCTGTCTGTCTGTCCATCTACCTACCTGCGCCCTGGGCACGCATACACATTTATGAGTTTTGTAGAATTTTTGACAACTCCGAAAAGGTGAAAGCTGAACAAGAAATCTTGCCTGCATTGAATTTGTTGCCGGCTATTATAAGCACAGAAAAAGCGAACATTTGCTTGACTAAGGGATACCCTAAAAAGCCTGTTCAGATGTTATTAAATTCGGCAAAACTAGTAATTAATAGGCATGTTTATACTTTTTTTTCAACTTGTTCTTGCGCACAAACTATAATACGAAGTTTTCAACTTACTTTTTTTTTAAATGCATGATCTAATTCCAAATAATGCCAATAAATACCGAGTATGTAGCAAAAGATATAAAATACTAAGTATACATATGTCTAATATCTTATCTGAATTCATTCGCTCATTAAATTCATTAAATAAAGGGTTGCATGATTATTATAATTTGGAAAATTTAAAAAAAAAAAAACCGAAAATGTAATACAAGTAAATAAAAAAGTGTTTAATTTTCAAATCTTCATTCGTTATTTGTGGTTTTTGAAAAATGTGGGAGTAGAAGTAAGCTTTTCACATGCATCAAAATATTGTTTCCGAATCATTATATACATCTGATGTGTGGTTCTTGTACATAGGAGGACGAGAGCCATGAATAGCCGTTCATGGGGTTTTGGAGCAGAGTATGGCGAACCATTCAGTCGCAGTCGAGTGCGTTTTCCCCTGAAATGATCAGTCACAGGCCATAGAGAGTGCTGCCCTCGTTGGCTGCCGGCATCTTTGACTCCCCGAGGAAGTTTCGGGCCATATGAGCATTCCTACCGGCATTTGATGGTTGGTTGACATGTTCGCCAACTGACTGACTGACTGCCTGCCTGCCTGCCTGAATGGCTGAATGGCTCACTGCCGGATTGACGGCTTGGCGGCTTGGCGTTGCTTTTGAAGTTTATCGGTAACAGTAAACAGCAAAAGTTGTTGCGCATTTTACGTTTTTGTTTTCGCGCTACAGCGTGTATAATTGTGGTACATTAGGCAAGGCAGAGCTAATCAGTTACACACCTGTGTGTCTACATACATATATATCGTATAGTATAGTATAGTATACGAGTATGAGTTGGAGGTTTCGAGTGTGGCCGCTGCAGGCCGCTGTATGAGCACGTTAGATACGCGATTTCAAGCGATTGCTGTTAATGATCAAAAAATTTGGTCAAAGAAATAACTTCAAAAACTACAAAACGAGTGTTGTCGAAGCCCTAATACTCTGAAAAGATATGTTTTCAATGTTGGCAAGTGAGATAAATGAAATGTACTATATTCTTATTTTCCTTTTTTCAGTGAATTTAATAAGAGATCGTGGAGATGTGATCATATTTGACCCGGACTGGTCCATTTAGGCCGAATCGATCGAATTCTTTACTAGGTTGATAGCATCTTTATTCATATGCGTGCGCATACCTAATCCTATGTCAATAATATAGAAAAAGTCAAGAAAATTGTGTTCGAGAATAGTTTTGTTGGCTTTGGAGAGATAACAGAGGCTCTCAATATCGCCTCTGAATCGATTGTGAGTGAATTTTTGGCCAAACAGGAAATAAAAGCCATCGCTCGGCCACTATCTTTCTGTTTCCAAAAATATAGCTCCGGGAAATGAGAAGAAACTTAAGGCCCTAAACGGCCTAGTATAAGAAAAAACTGGACTAACTGTTGGCCTGCTTGTAATATAAGCTCAAAAGGAG